GGCTTGGGGGGCGGGGCCTCGGAGCCCGGTCCGCTCTTGGTGCCGAGAGAATCCGGCCAGTGGGGCGCCTAGGGTCGGACTGGAGATCATCTGATTGGGGGACGTCGCGAGGATCGGGTGTGTGCGGGGTGGGGGGTGCTCTTCGGTGGGGCTTGGTTGGGTCTCCTTGGTTGAGGCCGCATTGAAAAGTTGGGGGCTCTTTTGGGCTCTGATAGGAGGGTCGTCAGACTTCGGCCTAGAGGGCTTTTCTGGATCCGTTGGGGGGAGTGCCCCAGGGGTGGTTCGGCCCGGCCTGATTGGGGGGAATCCGCAGGGATCGACGAGGGGGGTTTCCGGCTGGAGATGGTGTGGGGGCTTGTCCAAACTTGATGGGGGGAAGCAGCGGAGATCCGTCGGCAGGAGATGCTGCTGACCGGGCGGAGGGCGGGAATGGGGGCCAGGCTTGGCCAGACCTGCCTGGGGGAAAGGGACAGGGACCTACCTGCTTCTGTCGCAGGGTGGGCATCCTTGACTGGCTCTCTCTCTCTCTCTCTCTCTCTCTCTCTCTCTCTCTCGGAGAGGCAAGCGGCCTGATTCAGGGGAATCGCTGGTCCAGCTAGGCCTGAAACGGGAGGCCAGGGGAATCGCTGGTCCAGCTAGGCCTGAAACGGGAGTCTGGTGGTATCCGGCTGAGCTGGATTAGGGGAGGCGGCAGGGATCATGGATATCGGAACGCCTTGGGATGGTGCACCTAGGGAGGCTCAGGGACCAGACCCCCAGGCCTCGGCAGAGGATGTGGCGGAGCTTGAGGTCTCAATTTCGGGAGAAGGGGGATCTGCTTGCAATGGAGAGACCACGGGGGCCAGAGGTTATCGAGGTCTGGGGCAGGGTACCTGGTTGGAGAAGTGGCTGGACCCTCGAAACCTCAGGGGCTGCAGAACGCCCCCCCCCCTCCCCGCTCTGCCCGCCAGATGATGATCCACCGGGCCCAGCCACTGCCTCCCATGGCCCGTTTCCACATCTCCCTGCCTGTTCTCCCAAGCTCACTACTGTGCCACCGTGAATGGTGCAGATTGCTGGGATCCCACCCCCCCCCCACCCCCCCGCACTTAGGTTGGCTGAATTGGCAGCAGCACTCCTCTGATTACACTTCCGCTGCCAACTCTTTGGGTCTCAGTCCCGTCTCACACAGAGCCCCGGTGACCGAGCCCTGACCCGAGCTCCTATCCCTGCAGCTTGCCTTGCACCATGGACTGGCAGCCAGACGAGCAGGGTCTGCAGCAGGTCCTACAGCTGCTTAAAGACTCGCAGTCACCCAATACAGCCACTCAGCGAATCGTGCAGGATGTATCCTTCCTTCTGGGCCTGGGGGAACTGGGCAGACATCTGCATCCCTGAAGGCCACAGAGGATGGGGCCCATCCCCTAATCCCTTGACAGAGAATTAAGGGTTAGAATTTTTGGGTCCCATTTCCAGAAGAAATGTGACTCTGGGGTTGGGGGGGATGACACCTCTAGTTGGGATTCAACTTTTGTTTAGGTTCATGGTTAAAAATTTTTTTCGATTGGTTGTTCAAAATACTTTTTAAAATAATTAAACTTAAAAAAATATTTTTTTATTGATTTCAGAGAGGGAGGGAGAGATAGAAACATCAGTGATGAGAGAGAACCATTGATTGCCTGCCTCCTGCATGTCCCCCACTGGGAAGAGCCTGCCTCCTCCATGTCCTGTCTAGGAATCGAACCATGACCTGGTTTATAGGTTGACACTCAACCACTGAGCCATGCCAGCCGGGTCTATACATACTTAAACTTAAAATACTTAAACCATTGGCAAGTTTCCTTTTTTGTTGTTGTTATATCACCTAAGGATATTTTTCCATTGATTTTTGGAGAGAGTGAAAGGGGGGAGGGAGGAAGTTGAGAGAGAGAGATTGATTGGTTGCCTCCCCCACCAGGGTGGGAATCAAACCTTACAACCCATGTATATGCCCTTGACGGAATCAAACCTGTCTGTGTGCTGGCAAACATGCTCTCACTTCTTTTTTTTCCCATATATTTTTATTGATTTGAGAGAGAGAGAGAGAGAGAGAGAAACATCAGCGATGAGAGAGCATCATTGATCGGCTGCCTCCTGCATGCCTCCTAGTGTGGCTCGAGCCTGGAACCCAGGCATGTGCTCTTGACAGGAATCGAACCCGGGACCCTTCAGTCCACAGGCTGGTGCTCTATCCACTGAGCCAAACCAGCTAGGGCAACGCTCTCACTTCTGAGCCACACTGGCCAGGGCTCGGATTCCTTTTTTTTTTTTTTTAAAGCAGACAACATTGGATTGCTAGTAAGCAGAGCTGAGTAGCAGCTGCCATCTTCACACAGAGCCAGGTCTGCCAATCCTTACCTGCTCTGGCCAGGTCTTCAAGAGTGGTGAGGAGCTCAGGGATGCTCCCTCACCTCCTGGATGCATTTGACATGACTGAAATACTGCATTGTTGTAGGCATGGGGATGGACAGGTGGCTGCCTGGTCCCAGAGGTCAGAGGTCCTGCCAGCTACATGGTAGGAAGGGGGCCCCACCGGGGGAAGGCCCTTGTCTCCCAAGTCCCTTAACAACCTGACAGAAACTCAAACAACTGAACCAGTTTCCCGACTTCAACAACTACCTGATCTTTGTCCTGACCAGACTCAAGTCAGAAGGTATGAGGCCCTCGATGCCCCGCCATGCAGGCTAGACCCCCACCCGCTCCCCTGTGGTCCCCTGAGCCGCAGCTCTCATCCCCCAGATGAGCCTACTCGCTCTCTCAGCGGCCTCATCCTCAAGAACAATGTGAAGGCGCATTACCAGAGCTTCCCGCCGCCTGTGGCGGACTTCATCAAGCAGGAGTGTCTGAACAACATCGGAGATGCCTCATCCCTCATCCGAGCCACCATAGGTAAGGGGGTGGGAGCAGCAGGAGTCAGCCTGTGATGACGCCCTGAGCCCTTCCTCTCAGCCAGGAAGCATCTCAAAATGTTAAGGCTATTGATTCACCATGGATGGTAGAACTATTACTACTGCCATTTTGCAGATAAGGAAACTGAGGCACAGAGAGGTTGAGGGCTTGTCTGGTAAGTAGCAGAGCTCAGGAGTGACCAGTGCAGGTCCATGCTCTGAACCACTCCTTCCTGAAATAGCCATTCTTGCTTGGGAGGCAGTCACCCAGTGCCCAGAATTTTGTGTTAGGTCCTGAGGGCTCAGCAGATTAAAATCAGAGCTCCCTACCCTTGTGGAGCTTCCTGTCATTAGTGAGTTAGCTTTGCCTTGGAGACTTCCTGATTCCTGGAAGGCTGCCTGAGGGAGTTAACAGAAGGATGACCACAATTTTCGAGCAATCTTTGTCAGCTCTTAAAACTTGCTTTTAAAAGGGTGTTGTATGTAACTATTTTAAGTGAAAAGACAGATGCGCTTACCCTAAGGCAGCAGTTCTCAACCTGTGGGTCGCGACCCCTTTGGGGGTTGAACGACCCTTTCACAGGGGTCGCCTAAGACCATCGGAAAACATATATAATTACATATTGTTTTTGTGATTAATCACTATGCTTTAATTATGTTCAATTTGTAACAATGAAATTGGGGGTCACCACAACATGAGGAACTGTATTAAAGGGTCACGGCATTAGGAAGGTTGAGAACCACTGCCCTAAGGGAAGGTAGTCTTAAAATGAAATAAAGACAGAAAAATAGTGTTAAATTTGAGATAGATGCTGGGACCTACCACAAGGTCAGCCCTGGCTTTTGTTAAGAGACCCATAGCCCCAGCAATACACCCTCACTCCCCACATGCCAGCAGAAGGACCTCAATTCACCAAGTGCATTCTGGGTGTCAGGCTCTGCTCTGGATACTTGATTTACGTCACTGAAGTTTCCCAATAGCCCTGGTAGGCTGGTGGTCTTTGTTCCCACTGAGGCACAGAAAGGTTAGGTGATGTGGCCAACGTCACACAGGGATGGGACGGACTGCATTCACAGTCTACCTCAGGGAGCACCTTTACTAGCAGAGCTGTAAGCCAGGGTCATCTGGAGTGTTGGCACTGGCAGCAGCTTCCCCTAGGAAAGACTGCCACCTCCTGGCTTTAAATATTATCTCCACACTGACATCACCCACGTTCAGCCCAGCTGCCAAACCCCTGTACTGCCTTCATCCTTCATTCAGATGCCTACTGCAGGTTGTACTTGGGTTTCCAGTAAGCAGTACAAGGTCTCAGGAAGCCATGTGGCCCTCTTGGACCTGCTCCCTGCCCCTCCCAGCCCTCACCTCCTTCTGCTCAGGCCCTGTGGTTCCTTATCCATCTGTAATCTCTCCAGGCATGCCCCTGCCCTCAGGCCTTTGCACCTGCCATTCTCTGCCTGGGATGCTCTTTACCCAGGGACCCGGATGCTGCTCCCTCATTTCCTTCAGGCCTTTGCTCAGATATCAAGATGTCACTTGGAGGAGGCTCTGGACACCCAGTTTTAAGTTGCTACCCTCGTCCTCAGCCCTTGCTAGCCATCTTCTCTGCTTTATTTCCCCCTTTAGCTCTTGGCATATAGCCTCCCAGGTTTTTTGCAGGTTTATGTTGACCTAGCAGCCTCCCTCACTAGACAGACAGCTCCTGTGGGCAGGGACTTTGTATTTAGTTCTGTGCTGCATCCCGAGACCTGGAACTGAGCTGATTTACAGTAAGGCTCAGAGGATCTCAAAAGGTGTGTGGGGCTCACAGGGAGAGCATCCTAAGAGTGGCAGGGAGAACTGGGGTGCCGAGCAAGCCCACCTGCACCCAGCCTGAGGCAGCGTCCTTTCCTGGCCGCCCAGGCATTCTCATCACCACCATCGCTTCCAAGGGTGAGCTGCAGATGTGGCCTGAGCTGCTGCCCCAGCTGTGCAACCTGCTCAACTCGGAGGATTACAACACATGTGAGGTAGGCCATGGGCCATGGCCCCCCACCCCCCGCCCCCAAGTGGGAACCAGGACTGGACCTAGACCCGCATCTATGTATGTTCCTCACTATTCAGGGAGCCTTTGGCGCCCTGCAGAAGATCTGTGAAGACTCGTCTGAGCTCCTGGATAGCGATGCCCTCAACAGGCCCCTCAACATCATGATCCCCAAGTTCCTGCAGTTCTTCAAGCACTGCAGCCCCAAGATCCGGTGGGTGCAGCTCCCCAGGGGTCTGCAGGGGGCCTGGAGTAGGCAGGGCGGGGGTGACCCACATGCCCACTCCCTGCCAGGTCCCATGCCATCGCCTGTGTGAACCAGTTCATCATGGACCGGGCCCAGGCGCTGATGGACAATATTGACACTTTCATTGAGGTGGGCTGCCAGGCTGGGGGTGAGCAGGGTGAGGGCCAGGGTCCCTGCTGTGGCTGACCCTCCCCTCCCTGCAGCACCTGTTTGCCCTGGCTGTGGACGATGACCCTGAGGTGCGGAAGAATGTGTGCCGCGCCCTGGTGATGCTGCTGGAAGTGCGAATCGACAGGCTTATCCCCCACATGCATAGCATCATCCAGGTGTGCACACCCCGGCCAGCCTGGGTGGGTGCTGTGGGGCTGGGGGCACAGCGGGTATCACCCCCAGCTGGGCAGGGCCTTCAGCTTTTCTCACTCCACTCCCCTAGTATATGCTGCAGAGGACCCAGGACCATGACGAGAATGTGGCCCTTGAGGCCTGTGAGTTCTGGCTGACGCTGGCCGAACAGCCCATCTGCAAGGACGTCCTGGCCTCCCACCTGGTCCAGTGAGTGTCTCTCCTGTGTGCTGTCCCACCCCAGCCTCCACCTTTCCTGTTTCAGCTTACCTTCTATACCTGCACACACTTTTGTTCAGTTTTTACTGATTTCAGAGGGGAAGGAAGAGGGAGAGAGAAGTATCAATGATGAAAGCGAATCACTGATTGGCTGCCTCCTGCTTGTCCCCTACTTGGGATCCAGCCCACAACCCAGGCATGTGCCCTGATCAGGAATTATAGGTCGATACTTAACCACTGGGCAACACTCGCTGGGTGCCTGCATATATTTTGGAAGATATGAATGTAGCTTTAGTGACTTAAAAGTTAGTTAAGTTATAGATGGAATAAATGAGAAGTCGAGAGAGGCTTTAGGCATAGTTGGGTCCAGGTGCTCAAAGGATGTGAAAGGCATCTGTCTAGTCTCAGATCTACTTCCTCTCCATTGGCTTTGTTCTCAGGCATGACCTTCCCTCCTGGCTGTGGCCTTCTACAGCTTTACAGCTTAGGAACCTCTGAAAAAGAATTCCCTCTTGACCAGTATCTCCAGCAAAACTCCTAGGGTCAGCTTGGATCACTCACCTATTCCCAAGTCAGCGAAGACTAATCACAGTTTCCAATCCCAAGGTACATGGGCGCCAGCGGATGGGGCTGGCTGCCTTGCCTGTTTGCTCCCCTCACCTGGCCCCATCCCAGGGAAGTTCCTGGTGACTGGGCCACATGTCCCTGCCTTAGGAGAACTAGGGGTCAGGCACTGTTCTAAGCTCAGTGTATTCAGAGGTGTCCAGGTCTGGGTCAAGAGCCTTCCTGTGGAGCCAGAAGTGGTGTCAGCTCTGTGCCTGTCACAGTGGCTGAGACTAGGTTGGGGTAGCTCCCATTAAGGGAAATGAAGGGATGCGGGGCCAGCAGAATCACTGTGCGCTCTACAGTCTGCCCTTGACACTCCCGCCTGTACCTCTGCTTTCCTCTTGCCCAGGCTTTCAATTCCCCCAGGGCACCCTGCCTCCCAGTGAATAGCCTCTCTCCCAACAGGTTGATCCCTATCCTGGTGAATGGGATGAAGTACTCGGAAATCGACATTATCCTGCTCAAGGTCAGCTGGGCTGACCACCGGGCACAGGCAGGTGGGTGAGGGCGGTGGGGGGTTGGGGCTGGGGCTCTGGTGGTGCTTAGTGGTTTGTCTGGCCCACAGGGAGATGTGGAAGAGGACGAGGCAGTCCCCGACAGCGAGCAGGACATTAAGCCCCGCTTCCACAAGTCGCGCACGGTGACACTGCCCCACGAGGCCGAGAGGCCTGACGGCTCTGAGGATGCTGAGGATGACGATGACGATGATGCTTTATCGGACTGGAATCTGAGTGCGTGGCCGGGCAGGAGGGGTGATGGGTGGTGGGGCTGGAAGGTGAGGAGGAACTTACTTGGAGCAGATCGTGAAGATCATCCTAATCGTGATCTCTGACCTGGGGGTGTGGTGAGGAGGCCCTGCCTGATGGGCTTCCCTGCGCCTGCCTCCCCCTCCCCACAACTTCCCTTCCTGTCCCAGGAAAGTGCTCCGCGGCTGCACTGGATGTCTTGGCCAATGTCTTCCGGGAGGAACTATTGCCCCACCTCCTTCCCCTGCTCAAGGGCCTCCTCTTTCACCCTGAATGGGTCGTCAAGGAGTCGGGCATCCTAGTGCTGGGCGCCATCGCTGAAGGTGAGTGCCCTGGCTGTCCTGACTGCCTGACCTCTGACCCTTGTGCTAGCATGACACGGGCTGGCCTAGGCGGAGCTGCCTGCGGGCAGAGAGGTGATGGACCTCATCCCTGAGTTCCCTCCAGAGGCCTGCTCAGCCTCTCCAGACAGATCTGGGATTTGAATCTCAGCCTATGAGCCTTAAAGGAACCCCAGACCCTGAAATGCAAACCCTCTCCTTAATTCTCATAGACATGCAATTCTATGAGGCCGTAGCATAATTATAGCTACAACAGTAATGTCACTTCCGCAGTGCATGTCCCGTGGCAGGCAGCCTGTTCTATGGGCTCAGTCCGACCTGATGAGATGGGAATCATAGATGGAGACACTAAGGTACAGAGGGATGTTCATCACCTCCCCAGTTACCCAGGGTGCAGCTGAGCCTCAAACCTGCTCCCTGGCTGCGGGGCTGGCCTGCCAGAATGAGAAGTGTGCCGTGGTCGTGTTTCTACAAATTCACATGGTGGCTATTACTGATGTGGCTTTCGAGCGCGCTTTGTCCTGATGGAATGTACAGCTTGAATGAACCAGAGGGCTTTTCGAGTCTGTTACCGGCATCACTTGTGACTGTCTCAGCATCCAGGCCTGTCCTAAAAAATAAGTTCAGCTCTAGCTGGTTTGTCTGAGTGGATAGTGCATCAGCCTGCGGACTGAAGGGCCTGGGTTCGGTTCCAGTCAAGGGCATGTGCCCAGGTTGCACACTGGATCCCCAGTGGGCGCACGCAGGAGGCAGCTGATCAATGATTCTCTTATCATTGATATTTCTATCTCTCCCTCTCCCTTCCTCTCTGAAATTAATACAAATTTTAAAAAATTAAGATAAGCTCAGGAGCCCTCACCCTGGAGAGCTTTCAAAATTTATCTAAGGAGAGGTTCCCTCACATTAGGTATTCTACATATTCATGAAAAAGAACTGGAGGAACTAACATTAAGCCAGTAAAAACAGGTCTCTTGTCTTAGATTATTAGGGGGTGTGCTATTATCTGTGTTCTCTAATTAAAAGAGCGTTGACCTATGAACCAGGAGGTTAGGGCACATGCCCAGGTTATAGGCTTGAGCCCTAGTAGGGGTCATGCCGGAGGCAGCTGATCGATGATTATCTCTCATTATTGATGTTCCTGTCTCTCTCCCTCTCCCTTCCTCTCTCTGAAATCAATAAAAACATACTTAAGAGAAAAAGATAAGCCCTGGCCAGTTTGCCTCAGTGGTAGAGCATCAGCTCGGGGACCAAGGAGTTTCGGTTTTATTCCCATCCCTGGTGGTCGGTAGGGGCTTGCGAGGAAGGCAACCAATCGATGTGTGTCTCACGTTGATGTTTCTCTATGTCTATCTCTATCTCTATCTCTATATCTCTCTATCTGCCTCCTTGCCTCCTTCCACTCTAAAAATCAATGGAAGCCCTGGCCAGCTTGGCTCAGTGGATAGAGCATCGGCCTGCGGACTGGGGGGTCGCAGGTTTGATTCTGGTCAGGGGCACATGCCTGGGTTTCAGGCTCGATCCCCAGTGGGGGGCGTGCAGGAGGCAGCTGATCAATGATTCTTTCTCATCATCCATGTTTCCATCTCTCTTTCCCTCTCCCTTCCTCTCTGAAATCAATAAAAATATAAAAAATAAAAATAAAAAAATAAAAATCAATGGAAAAAAATATCGTCAGGTGAGGATTAAAAAAAAAAAAGACATACTCATGTTTTTTTTAAAAAAGAAAGATGAAAAATAGAGAAAGAAATATCACAAACATCCAGGAAAAGTTTCAAAAGAAACCTTTGTGGTCACTGCCCACAAAGCCTGAGTGAGTGTGCAGCCCGGTCATCTATGAATTAATGAGTGACCATGTTGAGGTGGAGCTGATGGCAAAGAAAGGTTTGCCCTGTTGTGGCTTCCCCTCCTGACCCTACTTTTCACTGACTCAAACTTTTTTCATTACTGACTTTAGAGAGGAAGAGAGAAACATTGATTTGTTGTCCCACTTATTTATGCATTCATTGGTTGGTTCTTTTTGTTGTTAATCCTCATCTGAGGATATTTTTCCATTGATTTTTAGAAAGGGTGGAAGGAAGGAAAGGAGGAAAAGAGGGTGTGGAGAGAGAGAGAAAGAAACATCCATGTGAGAGACACATCAATTGGTTGCCTCCTGCACCCGCCCCAACCGGGGCTGGAAATTCAACCTACAATCCAGGTATGTGTCCTTTATCGGGAAGCGAACCCATGATCTTTGGTGCACGGACTGACTCTAACCACTGAGTCACAGCCCAGGGCCATTGGTTGATTCTTTTTTTAAAAAAATATATTTTTATTGATTTTTTTACAGAGAGGAAGGGAGAGGGATAGAGAGTTAGAAACATCGATCAGCTGCCTCCTGCACACCGCCTACTGGGGATGTGCCCGCAACTAAGGTACATGCCCTTGACCAGAATCGAACCTGGGACCCTTCAGTCCTCAGGCCGACACACTATCCACTGAGCCAAACTGGTTAGGGCAATTGATTGATTCTTGTATGTGCCCTGATGGGAGATGGATCACATAACCTTGGCATATTAGGACGCTGCTCTAACCAACTGACCTACTAGGTCAGGGCTCTGAGCTAGTTATTTAACCTCTGAGCCTCAGTTTCCCCCTCTGACAGGTTCGGCTGATCCTCTCCCCTAAAGAGTGGGTGTGGCTAGGCTCAACTGGACTCAGGATTGTCCCTATGCTGTCCTTACAGGCTGTATGCAGGGCATGGTACCCTACCTTCCCGAGCTGATCCCACACCTCATCCAGTGCCTGTCGGACAAGAAGGCCCTGGTTCGTTCCATTGCCTGCTGGACGCTGAGTCGCTACGCCCACTGGGTGGTCAGCCAGCCGCCAGACATGCACCTCAAGCCTCTGATGACAGAACTGCTCAAGCGCATCCTAGATGGCAACAAGAGGGTGCAGGAGGCAGCCTGCAGGTGACCCCTGGCCCCCGGCCCCCCAGTCCTTACCCCCTGCGCCGCTGGCTGCCATCCGGGAAGTGATGACACTCATTACCTCTGATAGTCGCTGATTTCTAACGTATTCGTACTGGCTGATCCCGGGTGCTCTGTCTGCTTCTGGCCCAGCCCCCACCTGTAGATGCCCACTGAGCCCTTTCTCCCCTTCTAGTGCCTTTGCCACCCTGGAGGAGGAGGCCTGCACAGAGCTGGTGCCCTACCTCAGCTATATCCTGGACACTCTTGTCTTTGCCTTTGGCAAGTACCAGCATAAGAACCTGCTCATCCTCTATGATGCCATCGGCACCCTGGCTGACTCTGTGGGCCACCATCTCAACCAGCCGGTGAGACCCCACAGCACCTCCCTCTTCCCGATTCCCTGCTTACCTGTGGCATCCAGGGACCTGGCGGTGACCCCGTGTTGCACACCAGGGACATGGCCATGACCTCGACAGGTAGACAGAGAGCCCTGGCCCCTGCCCTCGCCCTTTCCCAGTCTAGTGGGGGAGACAAACAGTTATGAAACAGCATGGTAAGTGCTGTGCTGGGAGCTCAGGGGCCTGCGGGTAGCAGGAGGCTGACCCAGGCTCCTGAAGGGGCAGTGGTGGATAGGTCGGGGCTTGGGATGGGTGAGAAGAACTGGTGGTCTGGCTGGATGGCCAGGCCTTGCAGGATCCCATGAGACACAGTGGGGAGCCAGGCCTCATTGCTCAGGCAATAGATGCTCATGGGTCATAGGGAGCCCTGTTGGTTCCCAGACTGCCACCTTTGCCCAGAGAGCCCCAACTTCCTGCTTCCCCTCCAGGAATACATCCAGAAGCTGATGCCTCCGCTCATCCAGAAGTGGAACGAGCTCAAGGATGAAGACAAGGACCTCTTTCCTCTGCTGGAGGTGGGTGGGCTTCAGGCTCCCTCCCACAGTCCTGCCCCACCCCACCCAAGTTCACCTCTCCTGCCTTCCTCCCACCAGTGTCTGTCATCCGTGGCCACTGCCCTGCAGAGCGGCTTCCTGCCCTACTGCGAGCCTGTCTACCAGCGCTGCGTCACCCTAGTGCAGAAGACACTGGCCCAGGCCATGGTGAGCACCCACCTGCCCGCTCCTCTGCTGCTGCTCCAGCCCTGGCCTACCGCCCTCACCTTCCTGCCTACCCCTCTGTGCCCAGATGTATACCCAGCACCCTGAGCAGTACGAGGCTCCCGATAAGGACTTTATGATCGTGGCACTAGACCTGCTCAGCGGCCTGGCCGAGGGCCTGGGTGGTCACGTGGAGCAGCTGGTGGCCCGAAGCAACATCATGACACTGCTGTTCCAGTGCATGCAGGTGGGTGGGCACCCTTCGCAGACCTCTCACAGTGATGACACCGAGCAGCCTGTGTGGGCCACCCTGGGGGGGTCACGGTCCCCAAGGACATCAGGGAAAGGGGGCCTATTAAAAAAACTTGTAATTCTTTTAAAAAGGCATTTGATTAAGACATGAGTACAAACTCATTTCAAGGCAACAATGTAGAAAACTTAGAAGTAGAAAATAGAAAACATGAAAGCACAGCCCCTTCCCCATCACCCCCAGCCCATGTATCAGCACTTACATGTGCCCCTTCCTTCTGCAGCAGAAAGCACAGCCCCTTCCCCATCACCCCCAGCCCATGTGTCAGCAGTTACATGTGCCCTGAGCAAGGCACTGGCTCACACGGCCCCTGAGCCCTGGTGTATGTGGGGGCCCGCAGCCTTGGTGCTGGGAAGTGGAAGGGTTAGGCTGTGTTCCTGGGACTGCTCCCCTAGCTGCCCTGAGCTGAGGGATTAGTGGGGACCTCAGCTGGTTGCGGGGAGGGGAGCCGTGCCTTGCTGACCCTGCTCTGACCCCCAGGACTCGATGCCTGAAGTTCGGCAGAGCTCCTTTGCCCTCCTGGGAGACCTCACCAAAGCCTGCTTCATCCACGTCAAGCCCTGTATTGGTACGACACCCATCTCATCCTCACCTCCCAACCCCGCCCTGGCCTCAAGTGATGGAACAACGACCAGGGAGGACTGTGACCGAACTAGGATGTGTTCGTACTGTCTGATGGGGCCTACCCAGCCAGGTCCGGGAGCTCACCCTGCGGGTCCTCCTGCTCAACACCCCTCTTTTCCCCCACCAGCTGAGTTCATGCCCATCCTGGGCACCAACCTGAACCCTGAGTTCATCTCTGTCTGCAACAATGCCACCTGGGCCATTGGCGAGATCTGCATGCAGATGGGTGAGTGCCCTGCAGGTGGGCAGGCTCTGCCCCTCCCCATTGACCTGTTCCTGGCCTGGAGCCTGGCTCTGAGTGACAGGTCCCCTTGAGAGGGTGCTGGTGCTCCTTGAGGAAGGCTCCCATGGGCCAGGGGCAAGTGGGTACCTCTGAGCATTTTCATCAGAGATGGGCCGAATGGCTGAAAGGCCATCTGTGATTGGCTTCTGTAAAGAGGCAGGACAGGAGCCTTGTTCTAATTGGACAATTTGCCACCTCCCCACCCCAAATGCAGTTCCACAGGGATTGGTAGGGAGACTTGGGCAGCTTCCCCTCTCCCCGCAAAGGAGCTGGCCATCTGGCCTCACCTTGGTGTTCATCAGTGACTCTAGGGAAGCTTCTGGTGTTTAGAGGGTGTGGATCTACCTCTGGTTGGCTATGGGTCCTGGCCCAGGAACCAGCTAAGGTTTTTTTGCTCCGTCACTAGATGTGCTTGGCCAGTATCTAGATGCAGCTGTGGTGGTTGGCATGGGTGGCGTGGGCTGTGTGTGGCTCTGACTGTCTGGTCCCTCAGGGGCAGAGATGCAGCCCTACGTGCAGATGGTCCTCAACAACCTGGTGGAGATCATTAACCGGCCCAACACACCCAAGACCCTGCTGGAAAATACAGGTGGGCGCCAGGTCTGGCTGCTGCCGCCCCCTTGCTCGCCTCCTGGAGGTGGGCTTCTTGGCTGGGAGTGTAGTTAAGTGGCCTTGGGAAAGAAACAGGGAAGGTATCTGGAAGGGGTTCTGGGAGGTGAGGCAAGAAAGCTAATGCTGGCTTCCAGGGAAGACCCAAGCTGGGCCGAGCTCCAGGCCCTGGTGGCTGGAAGGAGCTATTCCCCTGTGGCCCGTGGGACGGGGCTTGGTGCCTGGTGCCAGAGGCCCCCCCATGTACTGTCCCGGGGCCACTCGGGGTTGCAGGTCGCCTGACGAGTCCCTCTGCCATTCCAGCCATTACCATCGGCCGCCTGGGCTACGTGTGCCCACAGGAGGTGGCACCCATGCTGCAGCAGTTCATCCGGCCTTGGTGTGTGCTCATCTGTGTGGGGCCTACCGTATGGTGGGCCGGGCGGCAGAGTGGGTGGGACAGGCCCAATCCGTTCCCTTGCCTGTGCCCACCCAGCCCTGCTCACCCTCAGATGCACGTCCCAGCCCCATCACCCTCTGACCCCCTGCTTCCTCCATGCCCCGTAGACACAAGGCCCACCCCAGCCCCTCTACCCACTGCTCCTATGGATGCCCCTCCTGCCCCACCCCTGCCGGCTGATTCCCCCCTGCTCACCTTCCCCACAGGTGCACATCCCTCAGGAACATCAGGGACAATGAGGAGAAGGACTCAGCCTTCCGAGGCATCTGCATGATGATAGGCGTCAACCCCGGGGGCGTCGTGCAGGTTGGGGCGGCTGGGCTCTGAGGGAAGGCACTGGGGCTGGGCTCGGGCGGCCCCTCACATGGGATCCGTCACATTTCAGGACTTTATTTTCTTCTGCGATGCTGTAGCCTCCTGGGTGAGCCCCAAGGATGACCTTCGGGACATGTTTTATAAGGTGAGGCCCCTGCTTCGCCCTGATGTGGTCCCAGGAGGTGGCAGGGGGAAGGCTCTCTGGGGAGAGAGGCTGAGTTCATCTGCTCTGTTCTGGTGTCCCTCCCCGACCCGCAGATTCTCCATGGCTTCAAAGACCAAGTTGGAGAGGAAAACTGGCAGCAGTTCTCAGAGCAGTTCCCGCCGTTGCTCAAGGAGAGGTTGGCTGCCTTCTACGGGGTCTAGAGGAGCATTGAGACTGCCGGTGAGGAGGCTGCATGTAGGGGCTGGTGCTGTCATCCGGGCTGAGGGAGCACAGGCCCTGATTCTTCCTCTCCCTGCAGGTTTCTGTCTGCGTCGTCATCGGAGGGGTGGCTGGGGAGCACACCGCGTCCAGAAGTTGCCGTGCCCTGGTCAAGGGGGGTTAGGGAGGAGTGAGTGGGACCCAAATCCAGATGCCTTCCCTGCCCATCTACCTGCCATGCCTGGCCTGTGTGGCTGGCAGTGGTGGGCAGGTGGGTGGGGCCTCCACACTCGTCCTACAAATGGGAGGGGGGTGGGACTTCTTGGCAGCAAGGGCCCCTTTCTCTAAGTAGGGTCACCCCAGGCAGCCCACACGGGCCAGCCATGTGGGAGGGAAGAATCAACACCGCCGACCGAATCCAGCTTAGGGTGAGGCAGGGGGAAAGCAGGCGGGTAGGGGGGGTCCCTGTAGAGGTGCGGACACACACGTACACACGTGGCTACACGCATGTGTGGGCGCTGCAGCCAGCTAGGCTGGGTCAGCTGCCCCACCATTTCCCTGACTGCATGGAGACAGTAGAATTAGTGAACCCCTGAGTTAACCCATGAGGCCTTCCGTGTAACCTGCATCTAGAGTTTAAGACGCTTCAGCCGTTTTACCAGAATTGATGATGATTGGGGAGGGCTGGGTGGGTTGGGGTCCTTTGCTGGGAACCCAGGGCGGGATAAGAGGATGGCCACCTTGGGGCTGCCCTGTCAGCACACACACACACTTTGGACCTGCTCAGCACACTTCTGCCAGCTCTACGGCAGCCGCAGCCACCATGTCCCTCTCCTTGTCTCATCCCAGCCAGAAGAGTGGGGACCAGAGGAGTGGCTAGGGCTGGTCAGAGGTCTCCCTTCCTCCCTCCCTTGTGCTCCAGTGACATGAAGACACTGGGCTGGGGCCTTTTTCTGGAAGAGAGCTGCAGTGGCCAGAGCGGCTGACACCTACCCCTGCCTCTTTCCACAAGCGTGTCCATTTAAAGGGCAGTCTGTTTCTCTGTGCTCCTGAGAGTCCTCCTCAAGTTCCAGGCCCAAGTTTTTATAATAAGGGCTGGGGCATTTAATTGATGTTGATGAGACAAAAGCTTATGCTTTGCCAGCAAGAAGGAAAGCAAGGGCTTAGAGGAGGAGTGGTGAGGCCCTGAGTCTTCCTGTTCATCACTGCTCCCAGCGGACCCAAGAGCCTACCAGATTGGGGCAGTGATTCTAGGGATCCTTCTGGGATTGGCCAGGGATATGGTCACAGTGAGAGAGGATCCCCTAGAACTAGAGGGAATGTGATTCTGAGTTGGCCTAGAAATGAAGCTGGGCCCTGCAGCCCCCCTAATGTTTTCTTTTTTCTCCTCCCCTGCTTTTTACTTTAGGGATCCCTTTAGGGGCTTTGGGGGGGGTCTGATGATTCCTGCATCTTGGGGCCTGCTCCATCCATCCCACTGGGTTCTTGGACCCTGCCCCCATCATAGTCCTGTGTCTTCTCAGACAGGGTCAGGCCCTGCCTCTATTCCAAGGGGCACTTGGTGCACATTCCATAAACTCAGCTGGTTCCCCCTCCCCCTTGAAACTCCAGCAGGTCTCTGGAAGCCATTTGTAAAAAAGAAAAAAGAAAAAAAAATTTTAATACCATTTAATTTCCTGGTAATTCCAATTCTTTGGAGCATCCTCTGCTGGGTCTTGGGGTGTGTGGACTGGATTGGCTGGCTGATGGGTTTGGAAACTCCTCCACCCAGGATGAGGGTCTCCAATTGCCTTCAGGGAAGTGGGAGTCTGGTTCATTGTCTTATTTTTTTTTTTAACTATTTAATTTTAATTTATTTTTGGTTGATTTTTGCACAACGAAGTTGTAGCTTCTCACCCTCCCCTGCCCTGGGCTGTGGACCCTGACTGGCCTCGATCCACAGTCCCACTTGCTCCCATGTCCCTCCTTCCCCTTCACCCTCTTCCTCCTGCGGGCTCCAGGGTCTGTCCATTTGTTACCGTGCTGTGCTGGGGATTGGCGCCGAGGTGGCGTGAGATTCCACTTGTGTAGAACTTTGTTGAGTAAAGATCAGTTTCTTGTGAAACCTCGGTCTCCACCTGGTCTCCTGTGTCCTTGTCTTTGGCAGTAGAGATGTTGAAAGGAACTGGGAGGCTTTAAGAATGGGGGTGCACAAGATTCAGGAAATAATTGGGGGAGTGGGAAAGGAACTAAGCAATAACAAGGCATATTACTTGGGAGCCTCAGTTTTCCTCCCCGTAGAATGGTTAGGTTAAACGTGAAAGGTAAAGATTAAATGTAATAAATACATGGAGTGCATTCTCTCGGCCATAATTACAGCTCACTGAATGTCCTGAGCTCACTAAAGGGAAACCATTAATATTATAGCCTAAGTTCAAGATCCCCACCTGCCTTAGACTAAACTGACTTCCACACTGGATAGCTGGGCATGTGTTATACAAAGTGCTGAGGTCCCAGAAAACTTCAGTGTTATTGTTCATAGATTCCAAAGAAATAACCCGGAGGACTGGCTGTGAAAGACATGGGTTCATGAGGACTTACATGCGCACCTGTGGTGGTCAGCCAGTGAAGACGGATTGCTAAGTCCCATCAGCCTGTGCACGGGCAGCACCAGGGGCGGCTGGCTGGTGCTGTATAGAGTACAGAACAATGGAGGGGGCTGTGCCTCTCTGAGATCAAAACACTAGCTGTTTACAACTCAGGCTCACATCTAAAAAAGCTTCTCTTTGGCTGTTCTTAGCCCGAGTTGCTGGCCAGGTTCCCAAGGTCTCACAGTCCGCTTACAGATGGCCTTCACTGTATTTCCCAGAGTGGCAGGGGGAGTTGGAACATGGGGAGGGGCCCATGTTCCCATTTGCCATATGGCAAGTTAGACATTTTTGTAGAAAGCTTGGCCCAGCACCAGGCCTGTGGGAGATAGGTAAAATAGCGTCAATTACTAAGGCAAATGAGAAACTGCTGGGCTCTGGAGATGGGCAAGCCTCAGAATAAAAGGTGGCAACCTCAGTATGGCCCAAGGATCACCTGCACCAGCCTGGGGAAAATGCGGACACATCCGACATTAACTCAATGTGTACACTTCAGTGAGGGGAAACAATATAAACAAGGAAGCAGTGACATGTCCCGTAGAGAGGGACAGCGGGAGGGGAGAGGACAGGGGAAGATGGTCGCGATCTCACAGCAGGTCCTCTGGGGAGAGAATGCTTGAACAAAGCGTTGTGGATGCGAGGAGCCTGGCGGAGGGTGCGAATGTTGTGCTATCGCTGCCTGGCTCAAAGGCTCCCGGTCAGGTGCTGTTTTTATCGGTATGATTCACTTCTGTTCCACAAAGCCCCTGCAGTGTAACCGCATGTTTCTAGCTGCGGAAGGAGAGAGGAGTTCGAGTCGCCGCCCCAGACAACCCGGAAAAGGGCTTTGCTTTTCTAATCGGTGCGGTGTCACCCGAGGGCCGCGGTTTTCAAACCAGAGCCGGCTGGCCGGTGTCCGCACCACCGGAGGTGCAGGAACCGCCCTGACCGGTTTGGCTCAGTGGATAGAGCATAGGCCTGCGGACTGAAGGGTCCCAGGTTCGGTTCCGGTCAAGGGCATGTACCTGGGTTGCGGGCTCATCCCCAGTGGGGCGTGTGCAGGAGGCAGCTGATCGATGTTTCTCTCATCGATGTTTCTAACTCTCTATCCCTCTCCCTTCCTCTCTGTAAGAAATCAATAAAATATATCTGAAAAATAAAAATAAAAAACGCAGGAACCAGGAGTCTGCATGTTCCAGGCCTACGCAGCTCCAGAGCGAGACCCCCGGGGCAGGAGGGGGCGAGGAGGGTGTCAGCATCCAGCCAGTTTCACGCGAGCCGCTCACTTCCGGCCGGCGCCTTGACGTCATCAGGCAGAGCCGAAAGTGCCCTCGCGCTGCCTAGGAGACAGGACGCGGGGGCCTG